AGGGAGCCTGATGTGGGACTCGATCCCGGGACTCCAGGATCATGACCTGAGCCGAAGGCAGTCGCTTAACCAACTGAGCCACCCAGGCGCCCGATAATTTTATTCTGTAATGAAATGTTTGTTTCAAAACAGAGGCTTTCCTTTCTACAAGCTGCAAATTTATTAGCCACCATGTTAGCTAATAAGAATGTCAACGGTGACAGCAAGAACACTGAGTGGGATCAGAAGATCACCACGTAATTTAAGCTTTGCCATAAACTAGGTGGGTTACTTCTCCATTAAAAGGAAATTAGATAATTTTTTTTAAATTGTGGTGAAATATACATAATAAACATGATTTCTCAATTTGCCTCTCAGTTCTGAAACTGTAGATTTCTACAATAATTTAGAGCATCCAGGAAATATACAGATGCTTTTAAAAAAATCACTGCTAAGAGTTCTGGAGAGATTAATTGGGGATTTTAATTTTAGAAATAATTTAGATATTAACTATTTAAAAATGACAGAAGATAACATTTGTACATAGGTAGCCCTATCTCAGTTTTTTCCTTAGCATAAACAATGGTTAAAAAAACTCCAAGTATCTCAAGCTAAAAACATTATTTTCTTTTCAAAGGAAAAGCACAAAGACACTATTATCATCTTCAGTGAATGCCACACATTTGCTCCTCCAAAAAGATATGCCCTCTCTCAAAGCTCCCCAAGCCCCCCAAAAATAATATTGCCAACTCCAACCTTTCCTGAAATACACTGCAAAACTTCAAGTTTAATGAGGAGAAAGCAAAAAGAAAATAGGAAAATAAAGAGAAAAAAATCTTCAGGAAAAAATATAAGGAAACAAAAGCAACATAGGGAGCAAAAAAAACTTCAAAAAAAATTGATATAAACAAACACAGTGAGTTACAACTAGAGTGAAAAGTATCAACCAAAGAATCTTTAGTTTGGCACTTATCCTTATTCTTTTGCTTCAGTTAGTATTTTTTGGTATCATTTTATACTTTATGTACAATTTCTTTCCTGGCTAGTTTAACTTCCTACCATGACCAATAACAAAGTTGAAATCTGTCATCTAAAGCCTGACAAAATAAAACCAAGCAAATGCATCTAATTTTGTCACTTTCATAGTTTGAGAGACTATTATTTTCAGGTATACAGGTATGGAACATTGTACTAAAATGGGAAACTGATTTTCACATGTATCAGGTGTAACTATGAAAGTGACAAAATCAGTTTCTTTTAATCCACACAATAGAAATATTTTATACCCAAATGAATACTCTTTTAAGAAGGCCCCTTAGGAGGTTCTACGCCTACTACAATGCGCCTGCTACAATGTGGTTGCTACAACCTCCAACTTCTTATAGTATTCTTCTTTTAGATCCAATTTTAAAAAGAAAACCGCATCGTGTGTGGTTACTTTGTAATTATTCCGTTTCCCTCAATAGTTTTCCCTAGCTTGATTACCCATCTTATTTAACAGATCTGGTTCTGAATAACTTGCAGGTATTTAAATTCAAAGAATCAAAATCCGCTACCACCAGATTTCAAAAGAAGAAGATTCTGAAGGCAATGCCAAAAGAAAGTCTAGCAACATTTTGAACTGATAAGGTGATAAAGAATGGGATAGTCCTTGTTTGAGTGAAGGGTGGTGCTAACAGCACAGAATTCGGACAGCCCTAGGTTTGAGTCTCAGCTTTGCCATTCATTAGCTATGAACTTAGCTGTGAAACAAGTTATGAGCTTCTTCTCTTATTCATTCAACATTCAACAACTATTTATCAAGCATTTGTGTGTCTCACAGTAGCAGAGGCTAAAGATAGAGCAGGGTACAGAGCAGACAAAATTCATGCTTTTCACAAACGTTACCAGCCTACTGGCAAGAGGAATCCAAGCAAGGCCACGGGAAGGCAGGGTCAAACTGAGGCAGGAGTAGTCAGCTAAGACTCAGGGGTGAGGAAAGGCTTTGGTGAGATAAGACCCCGACGCCGGAAAGGGCAGCCAATTGAATATCTGGTCCTGGGATGTTCTAGGCAAAGCAGAGAACAAGACAAAGGCTTTCAGCCTGGAATATAATATACTTGGCAAACTGAAAGGCCAGTGTGGCTGGTGCCCAGTGTGAGAGCTGTACGAGATGCAGTCGGAGGAGGGTACAGAGACCACATCATGAGGACCCTTGAAGGCCAAGGTAAAGAAGTGATACATTCTTTTTTCCTCAGGGCAATGGAAAGACATTATGAAATATTTATCACGGTGTCTGGAATGCACACTTAATAAACACTGGCAAGAATTTTAAGTTCTAGTAGATTCATACAGCCCACGTCCAGGCAGAGATGATCTTTTATACCCATAGTTTTCATATAAGCTCGTTCACTTTACAGCCTGCTTGGTTAGCAGCTAATGCATATTTATTGACCCTTAAATGTCAGTACAGAATCTTATTTGGACTCTACTTATCAGCGAATATAACCCTGCAATTTCAGGGGATCAATGAGAACGAACATCCTGGTTTCAACATTACAAGACTTTTTAACATTAAAAAAATAAAAGTATTATGGTCAAATACATTTGGAAATTTTTCCTTATTTCAAGGCCTCTTTAAACCTTCAATATACTTATGAACATTATGATAATTTAAGAGGGATATATAGTATGCAGTATTTTCCAAAGCATCTTCAAGGACTAATGATCTAGAGAAATGCTAACCTTTTCCATAGTTCCAGCACACAGAAAATGATCATCTATACAATGCAACGGTTATAAGCCCCTGAATGCACTCAGTCTGAGGCCTCTGACTATGCCAAGTATTGCAGGGATGAATTATCTTGACAAATCCAAGACACACTAGCTGGGAAGCTATATTCTACTTGGGAAATGGTGTTCCGTCAGTATTTTTTTCTTAGATTATGACGGAATACTAATGAACTATACATATGAGCTGTAATCAACTTATTCTTTTTTTTTTTTAAAGATTTTTTATTTATTTATTTGAGAGAGAGAATGAGAGATAGAGAGCACGAGAGGGAAGAGGGTCAGAGGGAGAAGCAGACTCCCCGCTGAGCAGGGAGCCCGATGTGGGACTCGATCCCGGGACTCCAGGATCATGACCTGAGCCGAAGGCAGTCGCTTAACCAACTGAGCCACCCAGGCGCCCTGTAATCAATTTATTCTATGTTAAACTTAGCATTTGCTGCAGGGGAACTTAATTGGAAACCCCTGCATCAGACGAAAATCCCTAAGGGGGCTGCAACTTCAATGAAAGGGTAGGTGGGAAAAGAAAATCTGACTACATGCAAAAGAGGACCTACAAGTGAGCCTTTCCTGCCCATGCTCTGGGTGGAGAGGCTACTCTGGGATTTTTGTTTTTTTAAGATTTTTTTTTTAATTTTTTTTTAAAGATTTTATTTATTTATTTGACAGAGAGAGAGCACAAGCAGGGGGAGGGCAGGCAGAGGGAGAAGCAGGCTCTCCGTGGAGTTGGGAGCCCAATGCGGGGCTCGATCCCAGGACCCTGGGATCACGACCTGAGCCGAAGGCAGATGCCCAACCGACTGAGCCACCGAAGTGCCTTTTTTTTTTTAAGATTTTATTTATTTTTATTTGACACAGAGAGAGAGAGAGCGAGCGAGCACAAGCAGGGGGTGCAGCAGGCAGAGGGAGAGGGAGAAGCAGACTCCTGCCTGAGCAGGGAGCCCGATGTGGGGCTCGATCCCAGGGCCCTGGGATCATGACCTGAGCCGAAGGCAGATGCCCAACCGACTGAGCCACCGAAGTGCCTTTTTTTTTTTAAGATTTTATTTATTTTTATTTGACACAGAGAGAGAGAGAGCGAGCGAGCACAAGCAGGGGGTGCAGCAGGCAGAGGGAGAGGGAGAAGCAGACTCCTGCCTGAGCAGGGAGCCCGATGTGGGGCTCGATCCCAGGGCCCTGGGATCATGACCTGAGCCGAAGGCAGATGCTTAACCGACTAAGCCACCCAGGCGCCCCCAAGAACTGTTTAAGAAGAAATAAAAAGGGGCACTTGGGTGGCTCACTCTTGATCTCATGGTTGTGGGACTGAGACCTGCACTGGGTTCCTTGCTCAGCAGGGAGTCTGCTTGAGATTCTCCTCTCCCTCTGTGCCATGCCCCTTCCCGCACACAGACAATGTGTATGCATGTTCTTCTCT